AAAGCGCCATACTGCTTTCCACAGGGGTTGCACCATTTTACACTCCCACCAACAGTGAATCAGGGTTCCAGTTTCTCCACAACCTCGCTAGCATTTGTTGCTTGCTGTTCTGTTAAATTTTGCTATTTTGACTGGGGTGAAATGATATCTTATAGTTGTTTGATTACAACCATTCTTGATAGTCTCAGGCTACACGATGCACTGAATAACGTTTACAATGTTTTAACTTTGTAAATTTCTTTATGATAATTGACTTACATGGATGGAAAAATCCAAAACACTACCTCAGTTACCTCATAATAATTAAGGTGGTCATGCAATAGTTCATCAGCAGATGCACAGAAGAAAAATGTGGCAATCTGCTTCTTAAAGATTAGCTCTGAAAATTAGTATGGGGCTGTTCCAATATCATACAGGGTCCCTACAAGTGGAATCAACTTGACAACAGTGGGTTTTGGCTAAAGAATCTTTTTAAAGAGAAAAGCAAACTGGGGGAGGGGAGTGTCAGGTAGGGAGGAAAATGTGCAACAATGAATGAGTGGAAATCCAAGTTTTCTGTAAACTTTCATTAAAATATCAATGAAAATATTTTTTAATTTTTACTCTTAAAGTCTGTGGTGGTTTATAATCTTATGATGTATGACTGGATCAGTGAAAAAAGAGAAAAGGCCTGGTGCCAGTGGGGAAAGAAATAGGGAGCCAATGGGACTTTTGCTCTAAATGTCCAAAACACAAAGGAAAAAAAAAGTTGGATGTTGTAAGTATTAAAAACCTATGTGTTCTCAAGAAGCTGCACTGCAGTCCAGAGATATGAGGTTCAAATCCACCAGATGCTGTGCCGGAGAAGGAGGGACAATTTCCTCCTGTACCAGTCAGTTCAGATTTGACAGTACACACACACAAAATAATAAAAAAAAATTAATTAAAAAAAACACCTATGTGTTCCAAAGACATGGTAAAGCAATTGAAAAGACAACCCACAGAATGTCAGAAAATATTTGCAGATCCTCTATCTGGTAGGGGACTCATATCTAAAATATATAAATAACTTTTACAACTCAATAATAAAAAACCCTACTCATTTACCTGAACATAGAATTTGACTTTTCTCTAAAGAAGAAATGCAAATGACCAATAGGCATGGGAGAGGATGCCTGGCATCATAATAGTCATTGGAGAAATGCAGATTCCGACACAGGAGATACTGCTTCACACCCACTGTTGCTGTTGCTAAAATAAAATAAGAAAATAAGGAGCATTATATGGATGTGGAGGACTAGGAACCCTGTACTAAAGGGCCCTGTACACATTTTTTGTTGTTGTTATGTACTGTTGCTAAGCCATAGCTGACCCTCTAGTGGGTTTTCAGAGGCAGTAAATTACACAGAGAAGACTGTCCTCCGTTTCCCATGGGACCAGCTGGTGGATTTGAAGTATGTGCCTTTGGGATTGCAGTCAGCTTCTTACCACTAGGCCACTAGAGCTTCTTAATTAATATACAGATAAACCAAATTTCATGTAACCATACAGTGGGCCCTTAATTTGGTATAAACCAAATCTCATCTAGCCATACCATGGGTTCTTATTTGCCTATGAAAGGAATGATATATCAATTATTGTTATTATTGTTAGATGGCATTGAGTCAGTTCCAACTCACCACATCCCAACAAAAGGACACTGCACAGTGAACCATCACCACCACCGTACCCCCACCCCCACCCCCATGCTCACAGTTGGTGCTGTGTCAGTCCTTCTCCTTGAGGGACTTCCTCTTTTTCACTGGTCCTCCACTTTACCTAGCACGATATCTTTTTCCAAGAACTGCTCCCTCCTGGTGACATGTCCAGAGTGTGTGAGATGTCATCTCACCACTTCTGCCTGTAAGGAGCATTTTGAGTGGGTGGGAAGTGCCGATACATGTTACGAGAGGATACGCTGGTGCTGTACACTCTTCAGATATAGACCTGAACTACTCTTTGGCCAGGAACTTTCAGCTAACAATAGGCAGGCCTATAAAGTGAGCAATATTATCACAGAGAAATGCAATCCTTAGAACAGTCCAAAAAGAACCAAAAGAACTACATTTGCACAAAGGCAAAGACATTCCAAAGGCGGAAAGGGGCTATAAAGAGGACAAACAGAGCCAGGGAACACAGGAAAAGTAGTGCTACATGGTGAGGATTGTAGCTAATGTCATGAAATGCAATGTATATAAATGTGGAATAAGAAATTAATTTACTTTGTAAATTTTCACCCAAACAACAAAAAAAGTTAAAACAATAACAACAAAATAAACCTGAGAGAAAGGTAACCATCAGTCAAAAAAAAAGACCATGCATTTTCTGATTCTTTTATATGTAACATCTAAAATGGGTGAATCTGGGGAGTCAGGAAGTAGATTTGTGGTTGTTGGGGTCTTTGGAGCAGAGGATTGTATTGTGGGGGAAATTGGTACATAGTGGCTAAGAGGAGCCGGCTTTCTTTTGAAGGAAGTAAAAATGTCATAATAGTTAACTAACTCTGGGAATATATTAAAAACTACTGAATTATATACTTTTTTAAAAATTTTATTGCAATTCAAATCAGCATGTTGGTTCACTTCAGCTGAATTATATACTTAACATGAGTGAATTATGCCTCAAATGCTGTTACCAAAATATAATAACTGTATCAATGTAAGATCAACTGTTGTGGCAAGTCAACAGTAAACTTGGCTGTAGGCTTCCTGGAAGGCAGTGATGATAATGTTCTCTTTGGAGATTGGTCTCTCTTCCCTGTGGGTATTCAGATAAAGGGAAATTAGGACTTCGATTTAGGATTTGGCAACAATTATCTAGACTTAACATTTAGAGGGAACCTGTTAAAATGCTGAGGTCCCTTTTCAGCCACTGACACAGCAGCTCTCTCCAGGATATCCATAGATGCAGGCAAGGAATTGGCAACCCTTTGCCCTAATTACTCATTCAGGAACAGAAGTCTTAGTACTGCACATCTTTGCCTATCATTTACCAAAGTGCCGTCAAAGTGCCAAAGATAAGTTGGCTGAATGGAACTGTTACTGAATGCAACGGGTTCTGTCTATAGTCAATTGCCAATAAGACAGATGGATTGCAGTACCCAAAGCACTTTATTGCAGATCTGGGAGAGCAGTGAGAATCATCTCAAAAACTGCTTCCCCATCTAAGGTTGGTTTTTATATTTAAGCTAGGTGTTAATTTACTTAACATATAGCAAGAGCCTATGGTGATGAAGGAAGAAGTTCAAGCTGCTTTGAAGGAAATAGCAAAAAATAAGGCTCCAGGAATAGATGGTATACCAACTGACATATTTCAGCTAACAGATGCTGCCCTGGATGTGCTCACCAAGTTGTGCCAAGAAATCTGGAGAACAACCACTTGGCCAACTGACTGGAAGAGATCTATATTTGTTCCCATCCCAAAGAAGGGTGACCCAACAGAGTGTGGAAACTATAGAACAATATCATTGATTTCACATGCAAGCAAGATTCTACTGAAGATTATCAAAAAACGACTGGAACAGCACATCAGCAGAGACCTGCCAGAAGTCCAGGCTGGGTTTAGAAGGGGTTGTGATACTAGGGATATTGTAGCTAATGTTAGATGGATCTTGGCTGAAAGCAGGGAATACCAGAGGAATGTATATCTGTGTTTCATTGAGTATTCAAAGGCATTTGACTGTGTGGATCAATCATAACAAACTGTGGCTGACTCTAAGAAGAATGGGAATCCCGGAACACTTGATCGTGCTAATGCGAAACCTATACTTGGACCGGGAGGCAGTCGTCAGAATAGAGCAAGGAAATACTGCATGGTTCAGAATTGGGAAGGGCATGCGCCAGGGATGTGTCCTGTCTCCATACCTTTTCAACCTGTATGCAGAACAGATTATCCGGGAGGCTGGGCTCTATGAGGAGAAATGTGGCATCAGGATTGGTGGAAGATCTATCAACCCCTGCGTTATACAGATGACACGACCCTGCTTGCGGAAAGTGAGGAGGACCTGAAGCGCTTGCTGCAGAGGGTCAAGGACTGCAGCCTCCAAAATGGATTGAGGCTCAATATCAAGAAGACAAAGATTCTCACCACTGGGCTAATTGGCAGCACCAGGATAGATAGTGAAGAGATTGAGACTATTCACAGCTTTAGTTTGCTTGGCTACACAGTCAACACTCTTGGCACCAGCAGCCAGGAAACTAAAAGACGTATTGCGATGGGAAAGTCTGCTGTTAGGGACCTCTCCAAAGTACTGAAAAGCAATGGTGTCTCTCTAGAGACTAAGGTGCATCTGATACAGGCCATGGTCTTTGTAATCACTTGTTATGCATCAGAAAGCTGGACAATGACCAAGGAGGCTAGAAGGAGACTTGATGCCTTTGATCTGTGGTGCTGGAAAAGAGTATTGAGGGTAACATGGACTGCTAGGAAAACAAACAGATTCATCTTGGAAAGGGTCAAACTGGGCGACTCCTTGGAGGCAAGGATTCTGAAGCTCCATCTGACATACTTTGGACATGTTGTGAGGGGAGACTGGTCCTTGGAGAGGGACATCATGCTTGGTATTGTGGAGGGACAGTGCAGGAGGGGAAGGCCCTCTATGAAGTGGATTGATTCAGTGACTGGGGCAATTGGGATGGGTGTATCTGAGATGGTACGATTGGCATAGGACAGAGCGGAGTTTAGGGCTGTTGTACATAGGGTCGCTATGAGTCACAAGCAACTCGACGGCACATAACATTACTACTGCTAAGGGATTATTACACTCAAAGCAAACAGTTTACAATAAACTGGATTAGATGTTAATCCATTTAACATTCCACTATTGCTAGTTCAAAGCATCAGGATTTTTACATTCAGGAGAACAATTTAGTTACTAGAAAATAAACTTGGGTAGATGCTAATTTACTTAACATAATAGTAATGCCTTATGCAATGATAAGTCTTCACAGAAGCTGACTGCTTCATCTTTCTCCCACTGAACTGGCTGTCAGCTGAGTATTTGACCACTCTGCCACCAGGGTTCAGTGACCTCACTCACTGCTATTGAATCAATTCCAGCTCCAAGCTACCCTTCATTGGGTTTCTGAGACGAGCTACTGTGGATTCAAACAGCCTGCAATGACTGCCCTTTTGCTTAGCTGTGGACATGCTATAGGCCATGCTGCCACGGCTCCTGAGCCTGGAAGGACAGAAATTGAGTGCTCGTTTTCAACCTGTGTTTGCTGCATATCCTGTAGCCATTTTGAGAAGAACTGAATGATCTTTGATTACTGGACAGGGAAGGCAGTTTTGAATGAATAAGTCTTTGTTTGACACAGGATACCCCACCCTCTGGGGAACAACACAGTGATAAGTTTGTCCTGAAATTGTAAAAAGGGCCAACACCTAGGGAACATGGTAGACATTTGGTTTTATGACCCTGAGTCATTTAGTGTGCTTTACTTTCAAATTGTATTTATAGGCAAGTGAGACTGAAGGAAGATACTTCAGGTTGTCTGACCCTAGGACAAATGCCTATGAAAACTTCAGATCTAAGGCAACATGCCTCTGTAAACTATGAACTTGTTGTTGTTGTTATGTGCCATCCAGTTGCCTGTGACTCATAGCGACCCTATGTAAAACAACCCTAAATCCTGCTCTATCCTGTGCCAATCTCAGTGTCTCCGACACACCTACCCCAATTACCCCAGTCACTGAATCAGTCTACCTCATAGAGGCCCTTCCTCTCCTCCACCCTCCCAAGCATAACTCCCCTCTCCAAGGATTGGTCCCTCCTTGCAACATGTCCAAAGTATGTCAGACGAAGCTTCAGGAGCAGCCTGGTTTACCCTCTCTAGGATGAACCTATTCATTTTCTAAGCAATCCATGTTATATTCAATACTCTTCTCCAGCACCATAGCTCAGCAGCATCAATTCTCCTTCTGTCCTCCCTAGTCATTGTCCAGCTCTCTGATGCATAACAAGTGATTGCAAAAACCATGGCCTGTATCAGGCACACCTTAGTCTCCAGAGTGACATCATTGCTCTTCAGTACTTTGGAGAGGTGTCTGACAGCAGACTTTCCCATCGTAATACCTCTTTTAATTTCCTGGCTGCTGGTGCTGAGAGTGTTGACTGGAGCCAAGCAAACTACAGCTGTTAACAGTCTCAATCTCTTCACCATCCATCATTATGCTGCCAATTGGCCCAGTGATGAGAATTTTTATTTTCTTGATATTGAGTCTCAATCTATATTGAAGGCTGCCGTCCTTGACCTTCTGCAGCAAGTGCTTTAGGTCTTCAGTTTCAGCAAGCAGGGTTGTGTCATCTGCATAACACAAATTATTGATGAAACTATGAATTTAGTGAAACAATTATAGAACAGGGTTCAAGTCTTTTGTTCTTAGGGTCACTACGAGTCATGCTTGACTGATAGCAATCAACAACAGCGTGAATATGTGGAAAGTTTTGTAAACCAAATGTAGATAGATAGTGCTTTTATGTTTACAAGTGTGTATTGGTGGTGTTACCTTCCATTCAGAACTGACTCCTAGCTCACCCTCCAGCGGTTTTCAGAGGCAGTTAAGTCACACAGGAGGAGATTATCCATCATTCTCACTTGGAACACCTGGCAGATTCAAATCTCCTGCCTTTGGAATGGCAGTGTAGCTCCTTCTCACTAGACAACCAGAGAGCTCCTTTGTTTTATGAATATACCTCAGAGTCAGAACCAACCCATACCTGACCCTCCAGTGGGATTTTCAGAGGCAGTTAATCACACAGAAGGAGATTGTTCATCCTTCTCTCATGGAGCAGCTGGTGGCCTCAAACCGCATGCCTTCGGGATTGCAGCACAACTCCTTGCCACTGAACCACCAGAGCTCCTTGTTTTGTGAGTAGTCTCATGTAATTGAAAGAACACAAGGTGGGAAGCTGGGAGGCCTGAATTCTAGTCGCAGCTCTGTTGAGTGAAGTGTGACCCAGGGAGCCAGTCACATCTCTGAACCAAAGTTGTCCCATCCCCATAGGTCCTAATTAAGTAACTCTGGGTGACATCTGGATACTCCCTGTATACATGCTGATGCAGAGTAGGTTGATAACCATCGGACAAGAAAGGCTGTAAGGGACCGTCTGGCTGCAGCATTCTGGGAAGCTCTGACTTTCCTTTTGCTGTCCACCCACATGAACCTGTGGTCTTTCTCTCCTAAGGGAGTCTTAAGTCTGCTCTTGGGTCCGTGATCTTGGGCCCGCCCACCCATGACAGTCTGGTCCTTGGCAGTTGGAAGATTTCTTCTATCTTATTTTTACATTTAATAACATTTTTGTTTGTATTAGGCAAATACTTAAAAATAACAACACTCCCCCTTGGGCAACCACACTGATAGAATAGTGTTTTTCAGTCTAGTTTTCCTTGTAAAATGAATGTTCTTAGAGATATCATTACTTTACAGAACTCTCTTACTTGTCATTTTTTATCCCCATAGAAAGAATAAAAACGACATAAGCAAACTCATCTTCAAAAGTGGAGACTTCCAGATGTCCCCATACGCTGAGTACCCCAAGAACCCTCGCTCACATGAGTGGGGCCGAGAAGCTATTGAAATGCATGAGAATGGAAGTACCAAAAACCTCCTCCAGGTGACAGACGTGTACTACTCGGTGTGTATCCCCTGCTGGGTGCAATGTCAGGGCTTCCCGTTCCTCTGAGAAGTCGAGGAATGGCCTGTATTGGCAGAAAAGCATTCCTGCCAGTTACAGGTTAAAGGGAATAACCCCCGCTGGACTCTTATTTTCATAGTTATTTACTCACAATCTATTTGCATGATATTTTGCAAGTTTCAATGTTGAGATGTGAAGAATATTTCCATATAGCACTGTAGTTTTATGGGATTGTGGCACTAGCCTTCTCGTTGCACAACTGGCTTTTTTAAAAAAAGTTTTTTATTGTTATTTTATTATTTTTGTGTGAGTGTACAGTCAAATCAGATCTGACTGGTACAGGAGGAGATTGCCCCTCCTTCCCCGGCAGAGCATCTGGTGGATTCGAACCGTGCGCCTCTGGGATTGTAGTTGCAGCTCCTTGCCACTAGGCCACCAGAGCTCCCCACAACTGGCTTTTAAATGACAGAATTATCATTATGTGCTGTTGAGTCGATCACGACTCTTAGTGACCCAATGCACAGTAGCTCTGAACCTTGCTCTATCCTGAGCCAGTCTCACTGTCTCTGACACACCTACCCTCATTAGCCTAGTTATTGTGTCAGTCCATCTCATCTGGAGTCTTCCTCTTCTGTGCTGTCCCTCGAACTTTCTAAGCATGATGTCCTTCTCCAAAGACTAGTCCCTCCTGCATGCCCAAAGTACGTGAGACAGTGCCTCAAAATCCTTGCCACCAAGGAGCAGCTTGGTTTCACCCTCTCTAAGCCAAACATGTTAGTTCTTTTGTCAGTCCATGGTTTAGAAATGGGGGGGGGGGAAGGCTTTATGATTATTTAGCCCTTGCACTTTTTCTTCTACTCTCTGGTCTGCCATGCTTTGTATAGTTGTGTAGTTAAAACTGGGGGAATGGGAAAAAGATAAAGAGAATGATTCATTGCAATCATCAACCAGGGTTTCTCAGAGGCTTAGAAGATTATTAACTCCAAAATCCTATTGCTGTGGATTGATTGTGAATGATGGCAAGCTTCGTGGACAGAGTAGAACTGATACATAAAGTTCTCAAGATTTTCAGGGCTTGTTTGTTTTAAGTTTTATTATTATTATGTGTGTACCGTCAAATCGGATCTGACTGGTACGGAGGAAATTGCCCCTCCTTCTCCAGCAGAGCATTGGTGGCTTCGAACCACAAACCTCTGGGATTGCAGTGCAGCTTCTTGCCACCAGGCCAGCAGAGCTCCCTAAAATTGTCAATTTTTACAGACGCTGACTGCTCCAGCTCTCTCCCGAGGAGTGGTTGGGAGGTTGCAGTCGCCTCCCTTTCTGTTAGTAATCAGGTGCTTAACCGCTGGGCACCAAGCACCTTCCACTTCATCCCTATCATGTAACGTTTTTCCATGTTCAGACAGTTTCCAGTTTGACGTGTTCATTTGCTGTTAGGCCCCACTGAGTTGACTGGTTCCTCACAGCCCTTCAAACAGCAGATCGGAGCCTTGCCCTCCTGACCTCCAGTGTGCTCTAACCCGTTGTTATTATTACTGTCACTATGTCAATCCATTTCCTTCCTCTGATCCTCCGTCATTCCAAGCACTGATGTCTTTTTCTAAGGACTCGACCCTCCTGACAACACGCCCAAAAGCATGTGAGCCGGAGTCTCACCAGCCTTACCTCTGAGGAGTGCCTGGCTACACTTCTGCAGGACAGACTTGCTTGTTCATTTGGCATTTCCTAGGATATTCAGTATTCTTCATCAATACCACAATTCAAAGGCATCAGTTCTTTTGGCATCTTTATTCATTGTTTCAATTTCAAAAGCATCGGAAGCAATTGGAAAAAAAAAACACCACCGTGGCTTGGCCCAAGTGCACCTTAATCTTTAAGGTGACTTTGTTATTCTTTAGCACTTAGAAGAGGGCAGACAGAGAGCCCCATCAAATTTTCCCTGTGGAACAAATCGACACAACACAAGACCTCTGGCAGCGTGGTGCCTAAGGAGTGGCACTGCCAACCCAAAGGCCATGCCTCTCTGGTGCCTTGAATCCACCAGCAGCTTCCCCGGAGAATGGTGGGCCGTCGCTTGCCATGTAATTTACAAACTCCAAAAAGCTGCTGTGAGTAGATTCCAACTGGACGACTATGAAACTACCTGCTCCATAGGCCTTTAATGTGATGAGGCTGGCCTTAGACTGCATCATATGGAAAGATGGTGACTATTATGCACACTTACTTCACATGATCCATGTCAGATTTCTGGGCTCTCTCTAGTTCCTTTCACGTGACACTGCCTCAGCCAGAAAGCAAACATGCATGGGGACTCTGAGTGAAAAGTAAACAGTTGACAGGTAACTTCTCACATCCTGTGGCGCTGTTTGAACGTAACAATAAGCAGGAGACTTTGTGCCCCTTAATAGCACTAGACAATCTTGTTTGCAGACACTAATCCCTCTGGTTGCTATGGGAATTAACCATGAGGGTTCAGACTTTGGATGGGAGGGACAAGGTCATTTATTTCAAAGAGCTGTTGGTTTTGATGGACTGCTTTGAAAAAAAAAGAAAACTGAATCTGAAAGAAGAGCAAGTAGAAATAACAGGGGAGTTTGTGTCTCCCCAAACTCTGCTCTAGTTAAAATGTTTCCATTGATTCTTCTGCTTCATGACTTTGTTCTTTTGTCAGGAAAGCCCTTTGGCTTTGATAACTAAAGATATCACTAAGCAGGTCTTTTACCTACGTGTGCATATACGTTTCCCTCCTTTGCTGGGGCTCTTCAGCCTTCACATGGCATAGTCAGAACTTGGTGCCATGTTTCCATAGCATTAGCAAGAGAGTTGCCTTAAAAAGATACAGTTGAGGACTTACATGAACCCATCTTCATTTTGAAAATGGGCTGAACCTAAATTTATGGCATGACGCTATATACGCAGTAGAGAAAGATGCTTCCTCAAAAACTGTAATTATAGGTAGAGCCATGGCCACATGAGCTTAAGTCCAGTGTTTTCCTACATTGACCCAAGGTCCCTGGGCTGCCCCTGACCCATGTTCTGTCAAATCTCCTTTTAAATCATTGCAAATGTTCCCCAGGTGCTAACAAAAGACAGGCTCACAAGGGGCCCAACTTCTTGGTCAGGCCTTTATTCTGCTATTCATATGTCTTCCTCTTATGTTTTTTAAAAAGGTAGTGTTCTTTTTTTTTTTATTTTAACTTCAAGGTTACTAAATTGACTTGTCATTTCTTATTGGCTATCAGCCTGCAGGTGTCCGGAACCCTGAACTTGAACGGAACGGACTCTACCCAGCCTACACTGGACTGCCGGGATCGCGGCATTCCTGCATTTTCCCAGGACAGTATAACCCATCATTCATCAGCGACGAGAGCAGGAGAAGGGACTATTTTTAAGAACAGAGGAGAGGGAGGGAGGCCCCGCTGCTCTGAGCAAGTCACCAGGTCTCACAGGACTGCATCTGGGCGGAGCGCCACCGCTGGACGCTCCGGGACTTGCTGGAACCACGCTCTAGTGGCAAGCAGAAAGTAGGACAGGCATGAGGGGAGTGACCACAGAGGAAGGGGACAGATGGGGCTTGTGGATGTGGCACCGCAGGCTATGCATTGGGCGGCTTCATTGCTACTGTGAATGTGAACACGGGCCAGTACAAAGAGGAGTTTCTCAGAGTCACTGCATTGGGGCCACTAGCACCAGAGCCGACTATTAACTAAGGCAAATCATTAGTCACCACTGAAAGGATCCAGGTGTTCCCTTAGTTTGCACTTTAGTAAATTGAATGGGGAGGTCTTGTGGATTTACTTTTAAGACTGATCCCAAGAAAGGGCCTCTTTTCTCAGACACTTCCATAAGCCTCAGTTTGTTGATTCATCTGAAGCAAAATACTAGCTCAGTTCTTGTCCTGCCCGCTCATTACATGCTCAGTAACCAGTGTTGCTAAACATACCACTTAGATTTGAAGATATTGTGGCTATACAGGCAGTATTTGGATATATTTCTGGGTCTAATTGTACTAGTTTCTAAGCCAGCCTCCATAATGAGTGGAATTGGGTGATACAACCCCAATTTGGTCTTTATTAAGGTGACACATTTTGCCATAAAGGACTTTCCCCCCCTTTGCAATGAAATCTTCACGCAGTTGTGGGTCAGAACGAAGCAATGTCTCTAAGTTTTTAGTTAGAGGTGTCCAGCGACCCTGTGGCGAACCCAGCGGGTCGAGGAGGAGGTCTGGTCCCAGCCCTGGTGGACGGTCTGTGAAGCTGCAGGGCACTGCGGGCACGTGGGACTCTTGACACCGTCTTGGAGGCTGGATTAGGAGCAGAGTGCTGAATGCATGTGGCGTTTCACCACGAGAGGAAAAGCGGCTTGGCGTGATCCTTGCAACTGAATTCGGTTAGAGGCAAGTCAGAGTTACGAAACGTCAGCGCTTCGGGAAGCCGTGTGGATTCCTAAGGAGAAGTGGGGAGCTTAGATGGAGCCCCAGGTGTGTTTACTGACGTATTGGTCCAGCTCTTTGATACCCATAATCTTGTCCACATTCAGTATACAGTTCATGGAAAAAATCATTCATCCTCTCTCCTCCAGTAATTTGTATGTCTTTATGCTGTGTACTTCCCCAAGAAACATGGTTATAAGTCAGCTCCAGAGAATGAAAGATTTCTGGCCAGTTTGGGAGTTGATGTGCTTGGGAAGGAAATTCCATGTGTCTTATCTCTCGTACCTGTGACTTGGGCCTTGTCAGTGAGGCCGATTCAGTGTCTCCAAAGGCCTCTTGTGGAGCTGTGTTTATTTTTATCCTCTGCTTTTGGATAAAAGTGAAGCGAATACAGGAGTAAAAGGGTTGTTCCCACTTTGAAGCTTTGCCATCCATGACACACACACTCTTTTGAGAATGGTGTAGCCACTGGGCACAGTGCACCCTCAACACTTGTTTCTTCAAGGTTCTCTAATGTCAGTGTGTGTGTGTGTGTGTGTGTGTGTGTGTGTGTGTGTGTGTCTTCTTTGCCTCGTCCTCAAGCTCCTGGTTTGGCGCATGCGCTGTTGTGTGGCCTGCTCACCGTCAACACTGCTGCAGTGGGAATGCCTGTCGGGTGAGACACCAAGCACTTAGATGTTCTTATCTCATAGATGGATACAGAAAGACTTCTGGGTTTTGTCAGTAGCTGCTGAGTAAAAATGTCAGAGCATCATCTTGCCCTTTTGAAATCGTGGGTCTTGTATCTTTCTGCAGAACCAAAGGACCCTTTCCCACCTTAGTACCTTACACCATCCCGGAGAATCAGAGCACCTGCACACAGCTCACCTGCGCTCACAGAGGCAGCCCCACTTTCTGGCTCTTTCTGTAATCTCGTTGCTTATCCATACAGCTGTGGGGAATGTCCAGGCGTGAGATTTCTTTTGTTGCCTTCAGCTGACATCACAGCTGTTCTTCTCCTGTAACAGAGCCAGATACGCTCAATTCCACACAGTAAAGTGTTTCTGTCCCAGAAGTGATCTCAGGAGCCTCCCAGTCCAGAATAGCGCCCAGTGTGTTCCAAGAATGCTTTCTTTCTCATAGGTTTTGTCGATAGGCAATAGATAAAGTGTATAATATTTTCTAACTGTGAAAAAATGAGGCACCCTGCCAGGTTGAGTTAACATAATGTCTAGAGTTTTTGGGAGATACTGGGGATGGGAAAGTGCTTCTCAAGAGCCACGAGGTTCTAAGAGGTGCACAGATGCCACATGGCATGCCCCCTAGGAGAGTCCAGCTTAGCTGAGGGATACCTGTGGCCTCCTCTGAACACACACACACCCCCCACACCACACCCGACTCCCAGCAAACAGGAATTCTCAGGACTGGCCCAGGTGGCCCAGCATCTGTCCCTGCCTGGAATGTGTGACTCATGTGCCCAGAGCACCATGGGGCCCTAGAGCTACAAGGTGAGAGCGGAGGAAGAAGTGACACTTACTATCTGTCTGCCCAGGAGCTGCTTGGGCTTCCACAGGGCAGTGTGTGTAGGGCAGATGGCACCTGCGTGACGTGTGGTGGGTGGAGTTCACTGACCGTCAGAGCAGGGCTTGCTCCTGCTGACCTCCCAGGGCCGTGGGGTTTGTGCAGGCTCCACCCCACCAGGTCCTGTTGAGTCTGTGCTGACCCATGGCGCCCTCGGGTGTCAGAGCCTGTGACTTTGGAAGTGGATCACCAGGACTTCTTTCCAAGGTGCCTCTAGATTCCAGCCATTTTTGCTTAGTGGGTGAGCATGTTAGTTGTCTGCACCACTCAGGTGCAAGTTCCAAGGGGTCTTATGCTCCCATCTTTTCCCCATGACCCAGCCTAGAGTTGTCTCTTGAGTTTCTCCCTTGGTGAGGCTCCATGCAAGATTCTTGGCCTCAGGGCAGCCCCGAGAGGACTTATTTCTAAGACAAACATTCAGTGAGGGAAAGTACTTGCCTTGTAGAGCCAGGAGGATTTCAGACCCCAGTCTGGTGGCACTCATTTTCTCCTTCCTGCTACTCCTTGCTGACACAGACCTCACCATCTAAAGAGGACAAGGGAGGATGAACTTAGGAGATAAGTTATTTATTTCTTGGCCTAGATATTATTACCAAGCAGTAGCCGACCTAATGGCATGGCTGAGCTCTGGTGGCCTAGTGGTAAGAAGTTGGGTGGCAATGCCAATGGCACGCGGTTCAAATCCACCAGCTGCTCTGTCTGTGGGAGAAGGATGGGGATCATCTCCCATGGGATTAAACTGCTTTTGAAAACCCAGCTTGAAAGGTCCAACTTGACGGCACGCAACAACAATGGCATGAAGTGCAGGAAAGCGGACGCGAGTGGTCATGAAGAAAACAGTACTCAAGAGGAAGCATTTGGTACGTGGCTTTGGTGTAGGTGTAAGGTGAGGGCCCGAAGTTTTGAGAATCACACCTGAATTTATATATCCCACACAGGGCTGCCCCTTCTAGGAGCCCACCCCTGCGAAGGTTCAAGTCCAGGTTCCCAGAGCATTGAGTGTGTTTCTGTGAAGTCATTGCTGGAGGCTGGAGCACAGTCAATCACCTGAATGTCTTTAATGCTTCCTCCTTTGAGAGGAAGCCTGTTTGCAGAAGCAGCAAAGTAGTTTAGAGCCAAGCTGCTAAACCTGTGGTGTGTTCAAGCCTGGCTGAGAGCATTTGAGGTCAGAAGATGATGACGTTCTTGAAGAGATGGCTGTTGATATTAGCTTTGTGAGGGAGGCATTTACCAGAGGGAAGGGCAATTATCCTTGGGATCTGAGGCTGAATGGCTGCCCAGGAAAAGGCGTCTGTAGGATGATATTGACTCAGTTTAAAAAAATCCCCGTGTGGGCATGGTAGTGTTGCCCACCTAGGGGACCCCTGGCGCCCTGTGACTGCTCAGCTTGGCCTGTAGAAGCTACAACTCCACGGACGGCCCCTTTGTCCTTGGTGTCGTTAGTCTAATACATGCCAGACTAGAACTTGGACCCATAGTTCTCAAATGCCTACACCCTGAGTTTGAGAGCACCTCTATAAAGCAAGCAAGCAAGCTGTTTTCTGTTTCAGTATTTTGTCTCTTATTTAAAACTATCCTCAATATCCGAGGGGTTTTTCTGTTTGAGAGCTTCTGCTAGGGACATCTCATTTGCTTCTTGACAAAAATGTCCTTCTGAGGAAGTTCTCTTGTGTATTTTCAGAGACAGGACTTTGTGGGTTTTGCCTTTGAGTATGTGTTTGTTTGTTCCCCCACCCATTTCTCAAATCCCTCAAAACAAACTGGCTTACAACCTGGGACCATTGAATTAAATACCAGTTCGTTTGCTTGATAAAAGTGTCTCTAAAGACTGTTAGAATCCATCACATCTGGTTTAAACTGCTCATAGACACGCTTGGGAAATCAAGGTAATAGTTTCAATCTCAAAGGAAACAACATTTACAAAGAGGACATTGTGAAATTTTTATTCTTTGGGGGCATCTAATATACTCAGGCACAGGGCTCTTGGATGAAGAGGCAGAAATTGGATGAGGTTGGATTCTGGGTTTGATCCGTCTACCTGGGAAACTAACCTGACCCACTTGCTTTTCCTGTCTTACTGTGGTCTGTTTTAAAGGGAAAATGAACATTCTATTGTGGATTGCTGTGAGTTTTGTTAATGTTTGTGTTGCTGGATTTGTGGTTAAATGTGGCGTACAGCTGGAATACGAACGTTGTGCGTTTCCCCATTGTCCCAGATTTCCTTTTGTAAACCTTAGCCCCTGATTGATTGTGTTTAGTCCACTCTGAGGATGTTATTTAAAGTTGTGTTATTATTGCAACCTCCACTAAGTATTCAGTACTGTAGCAGCAAAGCATTATTTGTAAGAATTTGATTATTTTTATACTTATATCCATCCACTGTAAGTCTGGCGTTCTAGT